TTTTTAGTCGGAACATTTACTGTTGAAGGTTCTAGATCATCCCTACAATAACACGATGTCTCATGAATATTGAGTGAACGGTATATGATTTGTTTGTCAAATTTAAGATGCCGATAATTCAAAGTTCGAGCACTGTCTTTCTGTTCGTTTCTTTTCACATGGTTGGATACACAGCTCGTTGGGCTGATTACGAAAAAGTGGTTTCTGGAGCGACTTCTAGTTGAAACATTCGTTTTTGAAGGTTCTAGATCATCCCTTCTATAACAAGATGACGGTGAGTCGTCTGGAAAAGTGGATTTTTTCTTTGTGGAAAAATGCTGTGCTTAAGAGTACACATTTTTAAGAACTGGTATTGGGTGACTATTGGTAATCTGCAACACAGATGCATTACAGGTGATTAATCATCTTGAGTCTTTTGACAATATTTAAAAGCTGGTGGACAAAACATCGTTTTTTAGTTTCTTTTAATCTTATAATCAGGTCTCGCGGATAAAGTTTACCGTCTTCTGAAGTTTTGAACTTGTTTTAATGAATAAGTAAAAGTTGAGTATAAAACTGCTACAAAATACATTTTGAACGCAAACTAAATTGACTTGTTATTTCGTTTAAAGAAGATTTTTCTTCTTGTCGTATGTTTTCCTGATGATGGTATGGGTACATACCGAAAGCTAGAAAATGGACGAAATAACAAGTGAATTTAGTCTGAATTCAAAATGTATTTTGTAGCAGTTTATACTCAATTTTTACTCATTTATTCTCTATTGCTATTTCAAGAAGTTACTTGTTTTAATGATTTTTGAGTGATTTGTGAGTTTTTTAAGCCGGAAAATGCGAGTTTTTTTCTAAGAACAAATATCGCGACGATAGTCAGCATGATAAATTGATTTAAAACAGTTTATTTAATGAAATAAAACAGGATAAACACAAAAAGTCATGATCACCACCCTAGTCGCACATCTTGGAACCAAGATCTTGACATCTTAGATTTTTTCGAAAAGATCTTGGCAAGATCTTTCGTACAAAATGTCAAGATATTTTTGCTCCTAAGATCTTGCCCATGATCGTGCGTACAAAATCCTAAAAATTATCTTGTATCCAAGATCTTGACTGTAAAATGTCTTGTACCTAAGATCATGGCTCAAGATCTTTGATACAGAAATATTTTGGCATCTTGTACCTAAGATGTTTGAGTAACCATTGGTTATCATTCACCGTCTTATTTCAGCGATGTCATCCTATATATAAACACTCTATTTTGCGTCTAATGTTACTATGTTTTCGTCGACAGCAAAGTCAAAACTCTATGAGGGATTAGGGTTCGTTCATCCTAGCGGATGAAACGTTCACCACTGAGCGGTGAATATTTTTTGTTTCCAACACTTGTTGAAAAAATGCAACGAAAAAAGTTATTTTTGAAATATGAAGGTTTTTCAAATGTTCAAGATCCTGGGTATAAGATATCAAGGAATATCTGTAGCCAAGGTCTTGCGTAAGATCTTGAGTACAAAAATGTCTTGGGATTTTGTACGCATTTTTTCAAGATCTAGTGTCAAATCCTAACGTAAGATCTTGGGCAAAAGCTTGGTTCCAAGATGTTGGACTAGGGCTATTATCGTTTTCTTTTAGATATCATCTATAACTACATGGCGAGAATAAGCTAATGAATTGTTAAAATTCTATTTCAAACTAGTACGTGAAGTGTTTATCTTCCGTTGAGTAGAATTCAGTAAGACGGTTACATACTATAATTCATCTATTCCACTGATGCAATAAATCTTCAATATTTCACTTTTTTCATTCTTCAGTCTCATCCGAATGTTGGTCCTGTGTGAAGAATTTAATCATTATTAACTAGTCAATCACCGATCGTTATTATTTTAGTTCCATTATTGATGACATTATACTGACCGTATTTATCGTAAGTCCTTCGTCCATCTGTTTTTACAAATTAACGAATGAAATTTTTCTTATTTAAGCATGTCCCCCGGTTGTCCGAAGTAAACGGCAGCAGCATCATAAATAACGGTAGCTAAACCCAGTATTCCAATTACTGATCCAATATTTAATGTAAACCTTAATAGATCAAATTTACTTGCTTCACCACTAACGACAATAATTAATCTCAGTCCAAATGCTTTTGTTAACATTCTGTAAGAGCGATTTCCATGCATCCATTTTGATGCATAACGAAAATTAAAAC